TCAGGGTGTATGATCTTCTTGATGATCTTCTGCATTCTATTTGCCAATATCTTATTAAGAATTTTTGTATCTATGTTCATTACTGAGATTGGCCTTCAGTTGTCTTTTTCAGTTGGGTCTTTCTCTGCTTTGGGGATCAAGGTGACACTTGCTTCCAGGAATGAATTTGGAAGTATTGCTTCCCTTTCAATTCCATTGAAGATCTTAAACAGTTGTGGCAGTAGTTCCTCTCTAAATGTCTTGTAGAATTCAGCAGTGAAGCCATCAGGACCCGCACTTTCTTAGTTGGTAGGTTTTTATTACATTTTCAATTTCATTGATTGATATTAGGTCATTTAGGCTTTTTAGGTCATCTTCGTTGAACTTCGGTAATTCACACATATATAGGAATCTGTCCATTTCTTCTGTGTTTTCCATCTCATTGGCGTATAGGCTCTTGAAGTAGGTATTGATGATCCTCTGGATTTCTGCTGGCTCCATTGTAATTTCACCCTTTTCATTCCTAATTGCATGGAGTTGGGCCTTTTCTTTCCTTTTTTTCATAAGTTTGACTAAGGGTTTGTCAATTTGGTTTATTCTTTCGAAGAACCAACTCTTGGTTTCATAGATTTTTTTTGGTATTGTTCTCTTAATTTCCATTGCATTGATTTCTGCCCTGATCTTTATAATTTCCTCCCTTCTATTGGCTTTGTCCTGCTCTTCTTTTTCTAGAAGCTTGAAGTTCAGCATCAGGTTGAGTAATTGAGCTCTCTCTGAATTCCTAATGTGAGTATTCATTGCTATGAATTTCCCTCGTAAAAACTGCTTTCATTGTATCCCATAAATTCCTCCATTTTGTACTGGCATTGTTATTTAGTTGTAGGAACTGTCTGATTTCTTCTTAATTTCCTCTGTGAGCCATTGGTTATTCAGAAGTATGTTGTGCAGTTTCCATGTGTTTATGAAATTCTTGTGGTTTCTTTTGCTATTGATCTCCAATTTCATCACACTGTGGTCTGACAATATACAGGGGATAACTTGAATTCCTTTGCATTTACTTAAACATGTTCCATGAGCAAGTGTGTGGTCTATTTTAGAGAATGATCCATGTGCAGCTGAAAAGAATATGTATGCTAATTTGGTGGGGTGGAACGATCTGTAAACATCTTTTA